GATGGGAATAGCAGGCCTCCGACTCACAGAGTCTAGGGTGGGAAGACGCACCATTCATTGCTCTCTCAGCGTTTGTCTACAGGGCATCTGGGCACTTACACCCAGACTCTACCTGATCGACAGCCAATGAAGAGTCTTTTTCTAAAATTTATTTATTTATTTGAGTCTTCATTGCTGTGCTTGGGCATTCTCTAGCTGCGGTGAGGGGGGTTACTCTTCATTGCAGTGCACAGGCTTCTTATCTCGGTGGCTTCTGTTGTTGCAGAGTATGAACTCTAGAAGTTGGGCTCAGTACCATACAGGCTTACGGTGGGCTGGCATGGAGGCTTAGTTGCCCCACGGCATGTGGAATCTTCCCAGACCAGGGATCGAACCCGTGTCCCGTGTATTGGCAGGCAGATTCTTAGTCGCTAGACCACCAGGAAAGTCCTGAAGAGTCCTAATCTAAGGGCTCTTGTTACCTTTCCAACAACTGCCACCTCCAGGAGTAGACAGCCTCCACTAAACATGACATAACAAGGTTGACCTTCTAGATACTGATAAGATTTTCATAAGTCTCATCATGAAATTTTGAACTCTTTTACATGTGTTGCCCAGAATATGGTAGCTCTTCTAAGCTTAAAGACTTGGCAGATTCTGACATAACAAGAGCAACACCTCTTGCTGATCTTGCTGCTACTAAGTATGGAAAGTCTGGCCTGGACTTACCTACAACACCCAGATAGTCTAAACTCTCTCTTGTGGTGATAAAGAGTGTTCTGTGGGCAGGGGGCAAGGCTGGTATCAAGAGCGTCACCAATACAGTCACACAGGCCCCCATGTGTAGGTACTTGCTAATGACTTATTCTTGAGGGCTTGAAATTCTCATAATTTTCAACAAGGGGCCCCACATTTTCATTTTGCAAGTGATGGAGCCAGTGCTGGCCAGTGGTGACTCCATACTTGAAATAATACAGGAAGGAGGCCCCGTAAACCATTCTGAGAGCAACTTACTTCCCTCCACTCTTGCCCCAGATCTCCCTAGGGTCTTCCCCAATACCCCAGAAACTTTAGCAGCCAGAGGGCAAGGGATAGCCCTGGAAGCAATGGAAAAGAGTGGGAGGTGGACCAGGGCAGAACAGGCTCCCAGTTCAGCCCTTCAGTGTCTAGAGTGCCGCGGGTTAAAAAGAAGAGTCTCCAGAACTTCTTTAAGTTCTGAGATTCACGAGAGATACAGAGATCGCCAGAGTGGTGGGTAGTAGGGTGAGAGAGAGGGGTAAGGAGCTAGTCTAAGAAAGATGGAAGCCCTAGATTGGACCAGGGGGACTCCACACTGGACAAGAACTCTGGGTCCTTCTGTCAACCCTGATTTGGCCAAGACCTCTCTCCTAAGGCCACATCTCACCCCACCCTGGGCCTCAGTTTCCTTCCTGGCTTAAAGAGACTGGTGGTGAGCCCTGCCCTGCCCCCCTGACAAGTGTGCTGTGAACTCAGAGGAGGTGGGTGCAGAGAAACCTGTTGCACCCTGAAGGACCCGGGCTCAGGTCTCCAGACTCCGTAGGCAACGTGGTCATGGGAAGGCTGTGAGTGGGGGAGGCAGGACAAAAGGGGCCTCAGGCTCCCCTCGCAGTGTTGTTACCATGACCCTCCCAGGGATTAGTGTCAGACAGGATGGACCCCAGGGATCTCACTCACTGTTTTTGTTATTGGCAAATTACTTGGAAGAAAGCTCTTTCAATGAGATTGCCCAAGGGCACACTAGTGACCATCATGGCAGGAACTCCCAGCAAAATGGAGAGAGTTCCCAACATAAGGAATGGCAGGAGTACCAGTTTTGTTTCTTAGTCACAGCCAGAGTGTCACACCTACACAGAATAGTCTCTAGCAGCCCCAGCCCTCCCTTCCCTGGTCTCTGCCACCCATCAGCCTTCCCACTCTCCACCCCGCTGTAACCTGCAATTCCAGCTCCCCAAGCTCTTTCCTTTTCTGTTGATTTAAATCCTTATGGAGGGAGGTTGTTGCTGGAGACAGAATCGGTGGTTTTCCACATGTGGTGATTAGGCAGGAAGGTGTTTTACAATCTCCTGAGTATCTTTACAAAAGAAATAAAGTCAGGTGCTTACCTGTAACTATTGAGTTGGACCAGGGACCTGTGACAGATTCCAGCTTGAAAAAATGGAATCAGTGAGATGGTGTTTTGATCCCCAGTTGGCCTGTCTCTCTTACTAGGAGTTGCTCCCTTCTCTCTTTAATTCCCAAAGGGCATACTAGCTGGCCAGGGCTGGGTGAAGTCTCCAGATGGTGGGCTATCTCCCCATTCCCAGGGCACCCGTGAGCAGACATAAGACTCCACTAGGACAAAACAGCTGTGAGGACTAAATCAGAAAAGGCAGATGCTGGAGACATGGAAGCCTCACTCCTCATCATAGGAGGTGCAGACTGAGGGCCTGGTAGAGGCCCCTAACAGGATCCAGGGAGGATACGGAAGGAAACTTTAGTCTGAAGTGTGAACAAATGCAATAGTGCAGAAGCGGGAAAGCACAGGGGAGGGCTTCCGTGGTGACTCAGCGTTAGAGAATCTGCCTGCAATGCAGGAGACCCAGGAGACGCAGGTTTGATCCCTGGGTTGAGATGATCCCCTAGAGGAGGACATGACAACCCACTCCAGTATTCTTGCCTGAGAAATCCCATGGACAGAGGAGCCTGGTGGGCTACAGTCCATGGCGTCGCAAAGAGTTGAACATGACTTAGCTAATAGACGACCACCACCAGGAACGCACAGGGAGATTTCCAGGTTACCAAACACCTGGTAAGCATGTGTGTTGCTAATTCTTTGACTTGGGGAAAAGATACAGCTTGACCAAAAGGCCACTGGGGCAATATCTGGGTGGTGTAATGAGGTTGCACAAAACTCACTTTTCTTTCCTTCTCCAAGGCCAAGTGGTCACCGGGCATCTCCCATCCAGCCTGCCACCTTCCAAGGTGCCTGGCCCAGCCCTCAAGGGTCCCACAGGGCAACTGAGTCCACAAACCTCCCCAGGCCTCACAGGCACATGGTGCTTCCCTGGTGTTGATGGATTAGAATGTTCTTCTTGGCTTCAGCACTTCTCTGTCCCTTGGGCATAGTATTTCCCCCAGCTGTGCTCTCTTTTCCTCCCAGCGTCTCCTTCCCCAATCAGAGCACTGGACAGGGAGTCCTGAAGGTCAAATCAGAAGGGATGTCCTAGACTTCCCTGGTGGTCCTGTGGGTAAGAATCTGCCTGCCAATGCAGGGGATGAGGGTTGGACCCCTGGACCAGGAAGATCCCACATCAGGCAAGAAAGCCCTTGGGCCACAGCTACTGAGACCTCACACTCTAGAGCCTGTGCTCCACAACAAGAGAAGCCACCGCAATGAGAAGCCTGTGCACCGCAACTAGAGAGTAGCTGTTGCTCTATGCAACCAGACTAGCTGGTGGGCAGCAACGAAGACACAGTACAGCCAGAACTAACTAAATAAATAAAAATCACATTTTGCTAAAAAAGCAAAAAAAGAACGGATGTCCTGAAGGCTTTGGGAGTCAAGAGGAAGAGGTACAACTTTTGGTTAAGGTCAAGGAAAGCTTTGCAAGGTGGCATGTCAGGGCAAGCAGAGGAACCAGCTGCAGAGATGGGGGACAAACAGGAGGCTCCGAGATGGCTTGTGGTTGGAATGGTCAAGGCAGCTTGAGACCTGACCTGCAGGGCTGGGGTGTGGACAGTGAGGAGTGTCAAGACCAGACCCTGCTGTCAGGCGCGGGTCTGTGTGCTCTGAAGGTGGAGGGTAAATGGTCAAGTCAGCATTCTGCCTCTGCACCTAGAAATGTTGTGAAGGGTGGACATTGGCCTGGGAGAGCCTGAAAATCAGGGAACATGGAGTCTGGAGGTTGTGGCTTCACTGAGAGGAGAGAAGACGGGGGTAGGACCAGGGCAGGGGTGGTGGGAGGTCAGGGGAGTGTCCTCAGGAGGAAGAAGGAACAGGTGGGGCTCCCAGCCTTCCAGCTCAGGGCTCCTGAGGCAGCACCCTGCCAACCGCCCAGTGCAGACAACCAGGGCATTCCTGGGAGTCCTGAACCCAGAGGCACAGCCCAGTATGTGTGTGATGGGCACTGGTGTCTTGAGAAGGGCCGTCCCCAGGAACATGTGAGGACTGGGAGGAGAAGTAGCCTGGATGCACCTGAGCCAGCCCTGTCTCCTAAGAGGAGAGTCCTTGGAGGAGACTCAGCAGGAGCCCCCAGGGAGGAGGAGGGGACCCAGGAGAGCAGGGGCAGGGGAGAATCGGTCAGGGGCAATTTTAGAAGGACAGAGTGTTTCCCTCAAGATAAATAGGTTGAGTGTAGCAAAAGGCCACAACTGCTGGGGTCTTTGATGTGACATCTTAGTCTGAGGAAGGCAGAGGAGAAGACTAGGAAAGGGGACAGGTGAAGCTGAGCCCCTGACTGTCTGAGGGTTGTGAAGAGAGAAGAGGATGGTTTGCCCCAAATGGCTGCCTAGGGACAGGGTGGGTGGGTTAGGGGCTAGAAGGGGTCGGTCCTGTCATCCGTTCATCAAACTTTAACTAAGTGCCTATTGGGTGCCAGGCAGTGCCTAAAGGAGAAGATCAAATAGCAAATACCCTCCTTTACTCTGAATCCTGAGGAGCCCATGGTGTGGAGGTAGAGGGGATGTAGACAGTGCCTGTCCCCTCCATGTCCTGGAGGACTCAATCCTCTTGAGCAAGCCTGCTGGTGACACTCCCCGTGGGGTCCAGGAGAGGTCAAGGAGTTGTCAGGAGATGGAGAAACCCTTTCTTCACCTTGCTCAGGGGCCTCCCTGCCCACTGCCCAGAAATCCCATGAGGCAGGGGAAATCCCCTCAGCAGGGGCTGAGGCAATTCAATCTTACACCCTGGGAGGAGGGCAGGGATGGGGCGGGTCAGGAAGGCTCCTGGCTGAACCTTTGCATCAGGGCCCAGGCTGAGCATAAAAGGAGGGTCCCTTGGGCTGGGAGGAGGCAGGCTGGGGACCATGGAGACCCAGAGGGCCAGCCTCTCCCTGGGACGGTGGTCACTGTGGCTACTGCGGCTGAGACTAGTGGTGCCCTCCGCCTGTGCCCAGGCCCTCAGCTACAGGGAGGCTGTGCTTCGCGCTGTGGATCGCATCAGTGATGGGTCCACAGAAGCTAATCTCTACTGCCTCCTGGAGCTAGACTCACCTCCCAAGGATGTGAGTTGGGGAGGGGGCTGAGCCATCTCCCCCCAGCCTTGGTCATATTATCCCTCCCTTCGCTCAGGCTGTACCTCCGGTCAGGAAAGCACTTCTCCCTCTAGGTGGCTCCCACATCTTCCAGGAAACCTTCCCAGACCTGGGTCCCCTGCCAGCCCCAGGCTTCCTGCCTTAGCATCTCTGTAGTCCAGTCTCCCCACTTTGATCTTTGACCAGGTGGAGGACCACAGTGCTCGAAAGCCTGTGAGCTTCAGGGTGAAGGAGACCGTGTGCCCCAGGTCGAGCCAGCAGCCCCCGGAGCAGTGTGACTTCAAGGAGAATGGGGTGAGCTTGGGGGCTGGAGGCTGAGGGCTGGGATAAATGCTTCTCAGCACAAGCTAAGCAGGGGCCTTCAGGGAAGATTTCCAGCCCCTGAGGGGTGAGGTTGGCTGAGGCTGGAAGGTTATGGCCCCGGGGGTTCCAGTTTGACCTGGAAACTCCCCTTACAGCTGGTGAAATAGTGTGTGGGGACAGCCAGCCTGGACCGGTCTGATGACCAGTTTGACCTAAACTAATGAGATGAGTGGCCCCTTCTGTGTTGTGCAGATGCTAACAGGGTAAGTTGTGGAACATGCTTTGGACCAATGACCTGATGCCCCATCTAGGGCAGAGAAAAGGCCCTCCTACCCAGACCCACCCTCCCCAATCCCCAGGTCTCCAGCCCCGGCTCTGTATCCTTTAGAGAAGTGGCTGTCTAAAGGGGTCCTCACCCAGGAACTGACAGTAAAGCAGATTCTCAGCCCTACTGAGATCTCGTGAATCAGACTTTGGGGTGGGGCCCAGGCATTTGTATTTTCACAAGGCCTCCAGGGGATTCTGACAGTGCTGAAGTTGTGACACCCTGACTCGAGTCATGGTCTTGAGGCCATGCACCAGTCCATCTTTGCCCAGATGGGCTTGTGACATTTGGAAGCTCCTTGTCATCTCTGGGATCAGTTTCCCCATATGTTGTGGGTTTAAGGATTCAACCACATGCTCCAAAGATCACCGCCAGAGGATGAGCTGGGGCCAAAGTTCCTTTGGTGGCCCAGTTTGGGGGTTGTTCAGGTGGGGAGAGAGTGGTCTTCTCTTGACCCTTGCCCAGTCCCACAAGTAATCTCTTCCACTGTGGTTCACAGCTTCAGAGTGTCAGGGCTAAAAGACCTCAGCTTCCCAAACCTCAGCCTCCTCACAGGCCAAGGCCAAGGCCATTGTCATGGTTCTTGTCAAGGTTCCCCGGAAAATGGTGAAGAACTGGCTATCATACCTATTAATGGCTTTTGGTGAATCCCGAGCCTGGGGAAGCATTTTAAAGATCTGATTTGTTCTTCTCAGACTTCTGGATGGTAAAAAATAAATTCTTGTGAAATCAGCTTCCTCTAGGCTTCAATTTCAATTATTTCCCTTTCTCCCACTTACTGAGACTGAGTCCTTAACTCTGAGAGGCCTCCTCTGTGTGTGTGTGTGTGTAGCTATGTGTATGTGTGTCTATTTGTGTGTGTGTCTATGTGTGTCTATGTACGTCTGTGAGATCACTCCTGTGAACACAGAGAAGCGTGAGGCCCCTGTTCCTTCCAGGAGGGCACAGAGGGAGGCAGCAGCGCCAGGAGGTCCAGGGCGGTGTCTCCACCCTCGGGTCCCTCCCAAGCCCTTCCCCTGCCCCTGCCCTCCTCCTCCAACAACCAACAGGATGTAAGGAGACCTGCTGTGTGTGCAGTGCTGGTGGGAATGCTGTTCCTGCTGATGTGGATCTGACAGTCCACGAGGGGCCAGGCTTCTCACCTTGTTAAACACTCACAGAGGTGCAATTCAGTCTTAGTGTTGAGCATGCAAGTATAATGCCCTAAACGTTCCTCTTGCCCTTGACAATCTTAATTCTGGAATAGCCTGCCCCTCCTGGCTTTTCCTGTGGTTTTGAGACACACTATCATTTCTTCAGCTGGGTCCCAGATTTCAGCGGTGGGCTTGTGTTTAGGGATCACATGACACAAAAATTTGCACCATTAAATACAAGCATCCTGCTCTTTGGGGTGAAGGGCACTGCATGAGGGTGAGAGACACACAGAGTGACACACAGGTCACATCACTGTTTGCCTGGGTGTTTCAGACACTGTCCATGCCCCGCCCACTCCTTATTCTCTAGCCCATCTTTGCTCTGGGGCAGACTGGAAGCACTGGTTTGGGGCTGGGGGCTGTTGGATCCAGGAAGCAACTTGAATCAACCATTGCAGGGATTTGGTGGAAAAACACCTCCTCTTCCTCAAGCCTTGGGTGGCCGGTTTCCAGACCTGTCACACCACTCCCTGATGTCCACAGCTGGGTTGAGCCCCTGTCTCCCATTTCTGTAACCTCTTCATTGAAACACATCCTCTTTGACTTAAGTCCTGCCCTGTCTCTCCTCTCTACACTCCTGCTGGTGCTTTCTGGAATCATCTCCCAAACAAAATGCTGGGTTAGCCAAAAAGTAATATCTTACGCCAAATCCTGAACAACTTTTTGGCCAACACGATACTTCCACTAAATGCTTGTCTTAGGTCTGCCTTGGAGCCAACCTGAACCAAGACACAAATTCCCTTCTCTGAGGGGGACAGAGGGCAGAATCTCACAGAGCATTTACTCTGCTACCTGTCAGGCTTGGCTCCTCTTGGTGAGCACGTGGGGCTGATTTCAGGCAGGTTGTAGGAACCTCATGCTTCTCACGCTACATCACTCTACTTCATCCAGCATTCTGAGATGAATGCCACAGGGAAACTCAGGGCTGTACTGTGTCTATGCTGGAGGATTCAGACTTGCCAGAGCTACAGGTTAAATGGTCAGGATTTCTTTTTTTGAGCTACTTGTTAAACTCTTGGTCGCTTGAAGTTGGTGGCTGTTCCTGCTGACAGGTTGATGCCTCCCAAGTTCCATGCCATCCGCTCCTGCCTGTGCTGCTGAGGCAGTGAAGACTGCAGGGAAGAGAGGTGGTACTAGAACATACGGCTGGAGTCCGCTGTTGCCGATGACCAGCATCTTGCGACAGGAGCAGTCCTTCCCCACTGTCTTTATGGTTGAGTTTGGTGACTGCTCCTCTTCCTGACCTCACTCCATTCTGTGATGTCATCATTGCTCTGAGAGGTTTCCTTGAGCCAACATGCATTTCCTCTTAGGCACGTGAAGATAAATTTCACCCTGGTGGCTCAGCTCTGTAGGTCAGGTGCTAGGAGCTATGATGGGTGTCTCTGCTTTGTGTTCACAGGGCCAGTCAAGATGCTGATAAGGCTGGATTCCTTTCAATAGCCTCTAGGGGAGAACTGCTTTCAAGCTCGTTCAGGTTGATGGCAGAATTTAGTCCTTTGTGCTTGTAGGACCAAGACCGTGAATCCCTTGTGTGCTGTTGGCTGGGGTTGGTCTCCATACCTAGAAGCTGTAACAAGGCCTTTGCTCACCTTTCTCCATCTTCAAAGGCAGCATTGGCCAGTGGAGGCCTTCCCTTTCTCCTAATCTCTCTGACTTCTGTGAGTTTGAATTTCTTAATAATTTTTGATTCAAGGGACATGTATTTTCATCTTGCAAGTTATGTAGCTGGCCCTGGCCAGTGGTGTCTCCACACTTCCCACAGCACTTAAAGGAGACACTGGAAGTCATTCTCAGAGCAACTGGTTTCACTCCATCCTTGTGGGAAAACATCCAGATGTCTTTTTGAAGCCTTGAGCACACAACAAGAAATATAGCTAAAAATAACCAGAGTACCTGGGCTGATAAGCTGAGGTCAGTGAGTCCTGCATAAGCAGTGGGAAATTGAGAGGTGCAGACTTAGGAACATTGGGTCACCACAAGTTAGAATGCTGCTTGCACAAGCACTGATGGTTTCTCTGGTGTTCCTGTGGGGATCTTTGCTTCCAGCCGTCTGGAGCCCTTTGTACAGAAAATAACACAGAAGTTCCAAAGAAAATCATTAACTGGAGATGTGACTGGGAACATGAGAAACTTATGTTATCTAAAAAACCAGACACTTTCTGCATACCAAGAGCTCAATAAAAGCAATATGGAATTGGTCAGCAGGGTTCTTGATCCTTGAGGTCTTGAGTCCCCTGGTCCCATCTTTAAAAATTTAATTCTGTCTGTAGTTTATTTTTTCCAAACTGTGCGTCGACCCACTTTCGATCCCTACCCGCTGTGCTGGCCACAGCACATCCTTACCCAACTTTTATGTGTTGTCTTCATCCATAGTCTTGAGCGTCCAGAGGACAGGGGACAGCCCAGGAAGGGAAGAAAGAGAGTGGGAGTTGGCACACGCCGAAAGGGACCCCCAGAGCAGCCTGTCAATGCTCATTGTGCTGCAAGTCAAAAAGCTGAGTCTCCAGGCCTCTTAAAGCAGTGGGCTGCAGGAGCGATGCAGGGCTGACTGGGGTAGTGATGGGGGCCAGGCAGAGGCGGCCTGAGGGTCATCTGAGAGAGAAGTAGGAGGCCCCATATCGGACCGGGAAAAACTTACTCAAGAGCCAGAGCTCTGCCCTGCCCTGCCCTGCCTCCTGACAAGAGTGCTGTGAGGACTTCCCTGGTGGTCCAGTGGTTAACAATGTGCTTGCCAATGCAGGGGACACCGGTTCGATTTCTGGTTCGGGAAGATTCCACATGCCACAGAGCAGCTAAGTCCATGCAGCACAACCACTGAGCCCCCTGCCCTAGAGCCTGTGGTCCGCAACAGGAAAGCCACTGAGATCAGAAGCCTGCACACTGCAACTAGAGAGTGGGCCCCGCTCGCCACAGCTAGAGAAAGCCCGTGCTCAGCAATGAAGGCCCGGTGTACCAAAAATAAAAAAAATTAAAAAACAACTCTTAGGGAGCCAACGCTGCTGCTGCTGTTTACTCACTGCATCATATCCGACTCTTTAGGACCCCATGGACTGTAGTCCACAAGGTTCCTGTCCACGGGATTCTCCAGGTAGGGATACTGGAGTGGGTTGCCATTTCTTCCTCCAGGGGATCTTCCTGACCTAGGGATCAAACGCAAATCTTCTGCTTGTCAGGTGGATTCTTTACTACTCAGCCACCTGGGCAGCCCATATATCACACACAGCAGTATTAATTATATTTTTTTACAAAAGAATGCTCTGAGCTTGGAGGAGGTGGATTCACAGAAGCCCTTTGTACTCTGAAGGACCACACACACAGGTCCCATTCCTGGGCTCAGGTCTCCAGGTTCCATAGACAACATGGCTGTGGGAGACTAGTTGTGGGGCAGGACACAAGGGGCCCCACTCTCCTCTCAGTGTTTTCACCATGACCATCCCAGAGACTCATGTCAGGGTTGTTGCGCTGGTGATAGGATAGACCCCAGGCACCTCACTCACTGGAAGGAAACTGGTGCCACTGGAGGAAAACCCACTTCGATGAGCTCACCCATGGGCAAACAGGTGACCATGGCCGCAAGGAGCCGTGGAGGGAGCCCCCTGCTTCAGCAGCTTCAGGGACAGTCAGGGGGATCTGTTCTGTGCCCACATGGCTCTCACCAAACACAGTTCTAGCCCACCCCATCCCTGCCACTCATCAGTTC